TAAGTGTCGTGGACTTGACTATAACTCACAGCGACCCTGTGATCACAGCCCTGCCCTGTCCCGTGCCATTGTCACTATCTCCAACAGGCTCTGGTCCTTTGTGGCTGTCACTCTGTCAGTCCATCCGGTCAGGACTTCCTCTCTCTCTGACCTTCCACCTTTCCAAGCACGCTGTCTTTCCAGGGACCAGCCCCTCCTGACAGCATGGCCAACGTGAGACAGCGTTTCACCGTCCTCACCTCTAAAGAGTGTCCTGGTTGCTCTTCCTCCAACACAGACTTGCGAGTTCTTTTTGGCCGTCCACGGGGTAGTCAGGACACTCCTCCAACATCACGATTCAAAGGCATGGAGGCTTCTTAACCTTCATTCGCTGTCCAACTTTCAGATGCGTAGGATCTGAATGGAAAGTCCAGGGATCAGGAGCACCTTAAGCTTTCAGCTGACTTTGTTGCTCTTTAGCACTTTGGGGAAGATCACTGGCAATGTGTTTTCCCAACGCAACATGTCTTTTGATCTTTTGACTGCAAAAGCGGTGGGTATTGTTTGTGGGCCCAAGAAAAATGAAATCGTTGATGAATTCAACAGTTGACCCACTGACCACGCTTGTTGTCATTGTTAGGTGTCATTGAGTTGAGTATGACTCATAGTGACCCAATGCACAACAGACCCAAACCCAGTCCTACCCTGTGCCATCCTCATCATCTCTGACCCACTGACCGTCGGAAATGTTAAAGGACAGAAAGTGGATGACTCAACATAATGACCTCTCTCTAACTGGGGGGAAAATGCCTCATCAAATCACTTAGCACCTGACTATTACTAATGGGACATGTGTTCATTTGCATGTTTGTGCATTCATTCATTCATTCATTCATTATGTTCAACCACCCCAAGACCACCATTCGTATTCTCCCCATATTGATTTAGTTTAGTCTAATAAGTTTGGAGTGTTGCCTGGTTATTTTTACAAATCAAGACCCAGGTTTAACCGGGCTTTCATCAAAGGATGATGTGGAAATTCACATTTCAAACTTAATCCATCGAGTCCTCCCTGTGTCTTGATCCCAAATCTCAGCGATCAATGCCTGGGGTCGTCCGTTTCTGAACTTCCCCAGCCTGTGGCAGCTGAAAGGCCCACTGTCTGTTTGTTGTTGTAGTCAGTGAAGGGGGATGCTGGAAACACCCACCCAGAAGGAGTAAACACGAAAGACTCCAGCTGCCAAGTAAGTGATGGTGAACTCGCTTTGGTGGTGGGTTTCACTGGCACGTTCTCACTTCTCTCCAGCCTTGACTTCAGTGCGATTCTCAGTCGCAGCCAACTTGGTTAATAAGTCTAGAGATCAAGCGCCTGCTGTGTGCCAGGCACTGTGCAGACAGAAGCCTGAGAAAACTCAAGCTCTCCTGCTACTTCCTCCTGCACCACTTCCACGCACGCCCTTCCTGCTCCTCTCCAGGAAAAACTCCCTCTCTTCCAAGTCTTCAGAGCCCTGGACACACTGTGGGTAAGGCTGGTAACCCAGAAGGTCGGTGGCTCAAAGCCACCAGCCAGTCCAGGGGGAAAAAGATGAGGCAGTTGCTTTCTGTAAATATTACATTCTCGAAACTCTCCGAGGCCATCCTCGGCTGTCCGTTCTCTGTCTGTGGGCTCAATGGCAGTGGGTTTGTTGTTCTGTATTTTCCTTCAAGTCTTGGCATGAGTGTTGCCTCTTCCATGAAGCCTTCGCTGTCTGGCTGTCTTCACTGGATCTTGCTCTTTTAGTTGATGGTGCTTATTACAAGTTCCACCCGCAACTCGCCTGTTAGTGTGTGTGTGTGCCTGGCTTCCTCCATGGCCCCACGTCATGCGGCTGGGAGCCTCAGGATCTTCCCAGCCTATCATGTGGTTGGTGCCTGGCATATGAGGGAGCCGTTCCTTGAATCGATGCATGAGAAACCCGGGGTCGCACACTTCATTTCCATTATTTTCTCTTTTCTGGACAGAAGGAAGCCCTAGTGATGTGGTGAGTAATGTGTTGAGCTGCAACCTAAAAGGACAGTGGTTTGAATCCACAGCTGCTCTGAGGAAGGAAGATGGTTCTTCTCCTCCCTTAAAGGTTTACAGCTCTGGAACCCAGTGGAGGGTTGCTTTGAGTCAGAATCAACTCGATGACCGGGTTTTGTTTTCGGGGGGTGGGGGGGGTAGTCATTCGATTTTTACAACTATATGTGTGGCTTTTTAAAAAATTAATTTATGCTCAGCACCCTATTTCTTTTTCTTTTTAACTAACCAAAAAGGATTTAATATGGTCAAGATATTCATTTTGAACATTTAACTTCCAGCATTGTGAGCTGGACAATGACTAAGGATGAGAGAAGAAGGATCGATGCCTTTTAGTTGTGATGTTACGTAAGAGGGTTGAATAGACCTTGCACTGCCAGGAGAACAAGCAGGTCTGTCTTGGAGAGAGTGAAACCAAGCTGCTCCTTGGAAGCAAGGATTTTGAAGCTCGGCCTTACATACTTTGGGCACATGCCGGCACCCTACTTCTAATCTGTGCTTTTAGCTGAAAAATAGCCTTTATGAGGATGTCATCAAATATTCTTCTGCTGATTTTGGCAGTATGTATTATACACATGCAGTGAAATGGCTAAATGCATGAGGTGTTGGCTCAAATCACATGGGTGTTAACCTTGGTTTAGCTATTGGTTTTCTATGGAATTAGAAAAAGTTACCAAATCCCTCAGTGGCTGTTTCCTCGTCTGTAGAATGGAACTAGTCCCAGTGCTGCTGGATTGCATTGTCATGATTGAAAGCCACCCTATTTGCATAGTAATTGATAGCTGGCCACTTAGTACCTTTTGATTGAGGCCTCATAAGTGTCAGTGACACCCTGGGCACCAGGGACAAGGGAGAGAATAGTCATTCCAGGACTGTCCCCTGCGCTAGGAGGGAGAGGGGATGGACAGCACAGTCTCGCAGGGAGCAGAGAAGACTGCAGAGGGAAGAGGCCTCTGGGAGAACCAGGCCAAGGTCTCCGGAGCCAAGGCGGGGCTGCCTGAGACAGGGCTCTGGGACTTGATGGGAGAGAAGCTCCCTGTCTTCCACAGATGAGGATACTGAAAGATGGGATATCTATTCCATGCCACACAGCAAGGAGGTGGCAGGATTTGAATCCACCCAGTCCCTAGACTGTAGACATGAGGTTTTTAGTCATGCACTGTGTCTGCAGCAGCAAAAAAACAGCTGGCAAGGGGCCTGAAAAAGGCCGCTTGTCCCTGGCCGCTCTGAAAGGCATCGTACGGCTCATTCTAAGTGAGCGTGCAGTCTGGGATCTAGTTTTCAGGATGCCGTGTCTTCCTTCACTTTCCTCTCACATCGGTAGATGGGATCTGACATCAGTGTCTGAATGCTGGTCACATTCAGTGTCTGGGTGCGTGAGGATGTTTCTCCAGGAACGGCTGCCCTCTTGGAAGCTGCCATCCAGGAGGCTGTTGGGTCTGGGAGCTGTGTCCATTTGTCTTCATTCTTGTCCTGAGGGATGTCTTGATTCAGTGGTATGAAATGACAGGTCTCTACTGGCTGCTGTCTTCTCAATCAAAACTGCAGCTTCATTCTAGAACTTTCTGAGCAGGGGACAGTCCATGCCTTATGAATGAACGGTTGTAAGCCTGTGTCTGGTCCAGGATGATTCACAGGTATATACTTCTGTAGCGATGTTATGCCCTGAACAGGGTTTGAAAACATATGGGGCCAATATATTAAAATTGAGATATTTTCAAAATTTAAAAAAAAAAAATCCATTTCCATTCTTGTTTGAACAAAACAGCTGATTTAATAGCACAGGGGCTGCATTCCATCTGGGATTTCTCCACTGGACCCGCACTGCCACAGTTCCCGTCGCCAATGCTTGGCACGTTGAATTTGCCACAATCTCCCCTACTCCAGTTTGCTTGGTGTGTATTCTTGCTTGAGTCTGCTCTCTGCTTTCACGTAATCTGTCTAGCCCCATGGCATTTCCATTTACATAGGTTATATAGTAAAGAGTTTCTACTCCCTGATAGAATTTTCTAAAAACTGCGATTTACCTAGCATTTTCCAGAATTTTGCATTTGACAATCTCATCCCTCCAAATTGTAGGACTCAAGCCTAGTGACATTTTCTTTTGCCATGGAAGAATGTATATTCAGACCCAAAATTAAAACAATTGTCTTCTTTTATCATTAATTAGTTCATAAAGTGAAAGGACAGTTTCAGATTAGAAGTTAAGAGAGGTATGATCATGAACAAAAGAACAGACATTCTCAAGAAAAGAGTCATAGTTGCTTTCATGCGTGAAAACCTTTTGAAAGCTAAGCACAAAAGGGCTTCAGGGACAGCTTGATCCAGGCACGCAAACAATACCATCAGTTGCTTAAGTCTGACTCTTATTCTCTCTGTCTCACCTTCTCCTTCCCTCTTTCTCTGTCCACTCTGCTTTCCTCTGCCTGGGCTTCATTTTCAGGAATATCTCAGAATCATCAGTGGCTCGACAAACTCCAGGCTTTGTCCACTTTTGCTGCTTCAAATCCAATGGAAAGGGAGGGGGCTTCTCTCTGGGTTGTTATTGGTAAACTCTGCAATGAGCTTAGTTTTTATCTGTGTTTGATCGTCTTGACCCAGTCACAGTGCTGGCAATGCCCTGATTGGCCAGGCTGAGCCCTCAGGGTGGAGTCAGATTACCTGAACCATGTGGAGTAGGTAAATGAGGAGGATGGTACTTGGAGGGAACCATAGGGTATAATACTGGCTATGCGGGAAAGTGTGGCATTTAATAATCATTACATAAATAAATGCTCCCTGCCAGGGCTTTGCTGGTCAATGTTTGCATGTTTTTCTTTCCTTTTCCCCCTCATTTCTCCAAGAACTCATAAAAATGCAGGCACCATCCAACATTCATTCATCTCTGTTTCAACACTTATTCGCCTTCTTCCACAAATTGATTTTGTAGCTGCTAAAAATGTGTTTTGTTTGAAATTGGTAGACATCAGACTCCACAGAGAAGGCCACCACGCCGCCGGAGCCAGAGCCGGAAGCAGAGCCGGCCACGGCAGGCCAGAAGGGCAGAGACAGCTCCACCAAGGACAGGAAACCAGCCGCCGAGCTGAGCAAACAGAAGAACAACAAGCAAGAAGCCAAAGAGGCGGCCCCTGCTGCAGAGCAGAGCACAGTGGCGGTGAACTCACTGCAGAACGCGGACAAGCCCCAGAAGAAATCCGAGAGGCAGCGGCAGTCCATCCGGGGCTTCCTCAAGAACCTGGTAGGTGGACTAGTTGCCTTTCAGGCACCAGACGCCGTTCCTCCTCTCAGTGGGGCAGGCTGTGTCCACGGCTGCCTTGACCAAGATTCATTCAACAACTGCTGCATGCCAGGCTCTGAGCCGGAGGAGGCCAGGAGTGGGATGGCCGGGCCGGTGCTGAGTGTTGTGGCAGCTGAGGTGGAGACAACATGTACAGATGTGGGGAATGCAGGTGCTGAGGTGAGAACAGAGTGGGAGTCAGACTTAAGGAACTGATGGGCCTCAATTGAGGGCCTGACTTTCATTTTGAGAAGAACATCAGGGAAGTCTTCTTGGAGGAAGTTACACCCAAGAGGACACCAAAAACCCATCTGTGGCAAGAAATATGGAGAACAGGAGGGTTAAGGGCATGAGTGGGGAGGAAGGGTATCTGAAGACATAGCTAGCTTTGAGCAGTGGGAACAGCAGAGGCAGAGGTGGGAACAGCAGGTGCAGATGTCAGAACAGGAGAAGAGCAGGAAAGTAAATGTGAACAGCAGGTGCCAACGTGGAAGAGCAGATACAAAGTTGGGATCAGCAGGTGCTGAGGTGTGAACAGCAGGTGTAGAGGTGTGAACAGTGGGTCCAGAGGTGTGAGCAGCAGGTACCTGAGGTGGGAACAGCAAGTACTGAGGTGGGAACAGCAGGTACTGAAGTGTGAACAGCAGGTACTGAAGTGTGAACAGCAGGTATTGAGGTGGGAACAGCAGATGTAGAGGTGTGAACAATGGGTCCAGAGATGTGAACAGCAGGTACTGAGAGGTGTGAACAGCAGGTCCTGAGGTGTGAATAGCAAGTATTGAGGTGAGAACAGTAGATGCAGAGGTGGGAACAGTGGGTCTGGAGTTGTGAACAGATACTGAAGTGTGGACAGCAGGTATTGAGGTGGGAACAACAGATGCAGAGGTTTGAACAGTAGGTGTAGAGGTGTGAACAGCAGGTACTGAAGTGTGAACAGCAGATGCAGGAGTGTGAACAGTGGGTCCAGAGGTGGGAACAGCAGGTACTGAGGTGGGAACAGCAAATACTGAGGTGTGAACAGCAGGTATTGAAGTGTGAACAGCAGGTATTGAGGTAGGAATAGCAAGTACTGAGGTATGAACAGCAGGTGTAGAGGTGTGAACAGCAGGTATTGAAGTGGGAACAGCAAATACTGAGGTGTGAACAGCAGATGCAGAAGTGTGAACAGCGGGTACAGAGGTATGAGCAGTAAGCATTGAGGTGTGAACAGCAGATGCAGAAGTGTGAACAGCAGGTGCAGAGGTATGAACAGCAGTGCAGAGGTGTGATGAAGAGACAGCATGGACAGGAGAAGGGCAGTCTGGGTGGACCATAGAACACAAGATTGGGAAGAGATTGGCAGGGAATAGGTGTTGGTGCATTCTGGCGTTGTCCTCCTGTAGCCCCAGTGCCTAGAGGTAAAGGGGTAGCTTCCTGCCAGGTCCTGGGAGCAGGGCACAGGATGATTGCTACACAGCTCCCCCATCATTCACAGCCCAGTACAGTGAGTGGAGAGTGTTCTCAGACCATTTACATTACAACAGGGGCCCCAGGTCGGTCACTAAATTAAGGACACACTGGTCTACCCCACTACCTTGCTCCAATGGGATGTTATGTTGAAAAGAAGCCACAGACCACATTTTGTCAGACATGGAAGCATTTACTAACAAGCAAGAATTCATTCAACAAATATTTAGTGAGCTTTTATTATGCATCAGGCAATATTCTATGCACTTGAGAAGTGTAAAAGACATCCACTGTGGCTCAACCAATAACTTTTGAATATAATGACTTGAAGCAACCAACATTGACTCTCTCACAGCTTGTTGGCCAGGGGCTGGGGAGCATCCTGGCTGGGTGGTTCTGATCTCTCATGATGCCGCAAGTCGCCATGCTGGTGGATGCTGCCTTCATCTGAAAGCTTGACTGGGGCGGGAAGAGCTGATTCCAAGAAGGCACGCTCACATGGCTGTTGGCAGGAAGCCCCCGTTCTCACCTGCTGAGTAAGATTTTTGGGTGTCCCTGTGCCATGGTGACAGAAGCCTGGATTACTCACTTTAAAGTGAGAAATAAGAATTCCTATCCCGAAAGGATGCCGTGCTAATTCAGAGATAATCTATATCATTGTTTTGGAGACGGTGAAACCAGGCTGCTCCTTGGAGGCAAGGATTGTGAAGCTCTGTCTCACATATGCTGGGCATGGTGCTGGGAAGGTCCAGTCCTTGGAGAGGGACATCATGCTTGGAAGGGTGGAGGGACAGTGAGGGAGAGGAAGACCCTGGCTGAGAGGTGACTGGGGTAATGGGAGTAGCTGCAGTGCAGACAGTGAGACTGGCTCAGGATAGGGCAGGCTTCAGAGCTATTGTATATGGGGTGCTGAGTTGCAGTCGACTCACCGACACATAACAACAACAACAACAACAACAACAGTGTATATAAAGGAGTGTGACACGGGACAATCTCTGGAACACACTTACTCATATTATTTCTCTGTTATGCCACAACGTTCACCTAAATCGTTTGCCTCTCTGTGGATATGATGGAGGCCTCAAACTAGTCCCTTGCCATGTTTTCACTAGGTAAGTGAAATGACCAGATGTTAGTGAAATCAGGGGTGGCAGCTCATGCTTGCAGTGGCCAGCAGATGGCCAAGCATTTAGTCATGGGAGATGCTCTCAGTCATCCAGGTATCTGGGTTCTCTGTGAGATATCACAGTGGATGTTGTTGTTGCTGTTGTTATGTGCCATCAAGTCGCCTGCGAATCATAGTGACCCCATGCACAACAGCCCTAAATCCTGTTCTGTCCTGTGCCAATCCCACTGTCGCTCACACACCTACCCCCATTACCCCAGTCACTGAATCAATCCACCTTATCGAGGGTCTTCCTCTCCTACTCTGTCCTTCCATCCTCCCAGCATGACATCCTTCTCCACGAACTGGTCCCTCCTTGCAATATGTCCAAAGCATGTCAGACAAAGCTTCAGAATCCTTGCTTTCAAGGAGCAGCCTGATCTAATCTTCTCCAGGAGGAATCTGCCTATTTTCTTAGCAGTCCATGATACACTCAATGCTCTTCTCCAGCACCACAGCTCAAAGGCATCAATTCTCCTTCTATCCTCCCTAGTCATTGTCCAACTCTCTGATGCATAACAAATGATTGTAAAGACCATGGCCTGAACCAGGCACACCTTAGTCTCCAGTGTGACACCATTGCTCTTCAGTACTCTGGAAAAGTCCCTAACAGCAGACTTTTCCCATCACAATTTGTCTTTTAATTTCCCTGGCTGCTGGTGCCAAGAGTGTTGACTGTGGAACCAACTTAGACAAAGAGAAATCTATTCTCTCATGATTTAGGAGTGTGGTCAGCCTCCACACATGGTTAGAGTTGAATGTTACCCAGTTTTCTCTCCATTACGACTCCTCACACTGACGTCGCTGTTGACCAGACACTACAGTGAGCACATCTAGGAGTGAATATCCAAGAGCGATAGCATCGCAGTTACACCCTGCAGCACTGCGTGTAGTGTGTATCACCGATGATTAAGACATTCAAAAAGAACTTCAGAGCTCGTAAGTGGGTTTCTCCATGACTTCATAAATCACGGGCTATTTGTATTTGTTTGTCACAACACCTGGCTTGTTAATTATTGCCATCAAGTCAGTTCTGACTCGTGGGAGCTCTGTGTGTGCAGACTAGGGTTTTCAGAGCTCTGGCCTTCAGTGCCTGACCTCCACAAGGGTCTTTTCTGGGCTCACACAACCAATCTTTTGATTAGTAGTCTAACAACCATTTATATCACCCCCAGGGACCCCTCTTAGGGCAGAAACACAGCCCAATTCATTGCTGTGGCGCTGACTCCGGCTAATAGTGATCTTCCATTGATTTTCTGAGACTCTCAATCTTTATGGGAAACTGCTTCCTCTTTCTTGCATGGAGCGACTAGTGGATTTGAACCTCTGGCCTTTCCCTTAGCAGTGTAATATATAACCCACACTCCACCAGAATTCCTTTTCTGGTGTAATCGCTGTGGTTAAGTGCTGACATATCAGCTGTGACTCATAGCAACTGTGTGAACAACAGGGGGGTCCTTGCCCTTTACCCAGCGACCCTCACATTTCTCTACCGTCTTCTGTCTGTCCCATGGCTGCAGCCACGGTGTTAAAGAAATTACTACTGTAGCTGCTGATGTTACAGATGTGCAATAGGATGCAACCTGTTTGTGTTTTTTTTCCTTCAGGGACCAAAGCAGATGTTGGATGCCCAAGTGCAGACAGACCCGGTCTCGATCGGACCCGTTGGCAAATCCAAGTAAACAAACCACCACGTTCTCCTGCCACCGAGATGTCTCCTCCCTCCTCATCCTCCTCCCAGACCCGCTCCGTGTAGATATTCTTGAATCTCTCTCCCATCAAAGAAATGCCACCTGCCCACGAAACCTGAGCTGGTGCACACCGAGGTGTAAAGTTTCCGTCCCTGGTCGGGTCTTTCCTGGTACATAATTGTGAAGGTGGTTTAGCAGGTTAAGTAGTTAGGTCAGAAGAGTTGCAGGTTGACACACCTGGGGAAGGAGAGGGGAGTTTACCTACTAGAGATGGCGGTGGCTGTAAGCCACAGAACCGATTTGTCTGCTGAGAAGAATTCATCTTGGGAGCAAATACAGGCTCATCTTCTGAAGAGAGGGAAATGCAATCGATTTGTTTACGTTCACTTTTCAAAGAGAGGGAACAGGGGCTTGATGTTGGGAGCTTGCCAACTTCTCTGGGAAGGAATGTGTGGAAGGGAACAAAGGAATGAGTATGAGCTGTTTGTCAAATAGGGTCCTTGAATTTTATCGATGAGAGGGGACAATTGGCTGGAGAGGGCTTGAAATGGTGGGGCGGGGAACAATTGCTTTTGGAGGCTCGATGATGACGACGAGGTTGAGAATTACAACTTGACTTGCAGAAGAAAAAAAATCTATGAAGGAAATGAAGTTGTAATTTTCTTTTGTAACACCGGGGGGCGCAGGCCTCCGTGTTGATCCGCCTCCTCCATCCACTAACAAAGATTTGGTGTTTGCGAGTTTACATTATTAATGTCTCTCAGATGGCTAAAAGCCTTGCTTCATCTGTTCTGTCTGACGCTTATCTCAAGTCTGTCTGTAATTTCCTAATGTTCTCGCGATGTGCGCTGATAAAAACTCTCCCCATAACCCCCGTTAATAAAAAGTTACCAATTATCCAAATACCTAAGGTCTCCCTCCCCTTAATACTTGTACAGAGGGTTCAATAAGACCCTTAGTCTATCAGAATGTAATTCAAAGTCAATATGAGTGACTGTAGTCGTGTATACTGTACCCTTCTTTTTCTGATTTAATAAAATATATATAATATCTATGTTTTCTTCTAAAATATGTTTTAATTTTCAAGTTTAAAAGCAGGCCACTCTCAGGTCTGAGGTGCTCATAACATCCGAAGTAGGAAAACAATGCTATTTTCTGTCTTCCCCTCCTCCCAAGCCCTCCAGGATCTCCAGGTATTGGCACATATGTAAGTCAAATGCACCCTCACACACAAGCACACGGCAGCTATTCTCACAGATGTGGTTATCAGAGGTTGTCTTCAGCTAGATTACCTAGTGCAAAGCCTGAGAAGGGGGTGGAGTGGAGGGAGATGTGGTATAAGAAGGGAGGTCTTCATAGAGGAAGTGGCAGGGCAGGAGTTGAGTAAAATTGGAATCAAACTCGTTGGAATCAAACTTCGTCTTGTCGCAGGAACTTGGCTGGACCCATGGGGGACCATCCCTTATACCCTGTGTTGGTGAATCAGAGAGTCCCCTGCAAGATCAGTGGGGTCCAGCCTCCTGGACAAGCTACTCCTATTGAGTTCAGAAGCAGGAGACAGCTGGGGTCCCTTCACAGCTAACACCCAGCGGGGCTGGGGGCTGGGTGCATTGACAGCGCTCATGACAGATACACGTGTATATTCAAATGCATATTTATGCCTCTTTGATATATGCACGTTCATTCATAGATCTTATACACAGTGTCACATACATGCATACCTCCACCCCTATCCACACATATGCAAAATGCATACCTCTGGCACTGATGAACACAGACACACTGGCTCTTGCACACCTATCCCACGTGCAATCTATTCTACAGGGGTGTGACATGGACGTTGAGTATCTGTTCTTGTCATGGTCATAGAGTACAGAGACACATATGTATCTTGTGCAAATAAAAGTTTGCTTCAGTGAAAAGAAAAAGAACATTGAGAAAATATGTTCCGACAATCTCTCAGAAAATGCAGAGCTGAGAGGTCTTTTGCTGCTGCTGTTAGCTAGCTCTTATGTGGGGCTGGCTGGTTCCAGTTCTTTGGGGCCCAAAGACCAGAGCTCTCTTCCTTGAAGCTGGGTTAGCTTCTGCAGAACCGTTGGCCAAGCCGTGAGAGGACACCCTCTGGGGACACCTCTTTGAATGCAAGTCAAGGAAAGTGGGGGCTGGCCCTTCTGTCTCCAAAACAGGAGTCTACAGGGAACCTTCTCTGAGCCACAGGCCGCAATCTCTGCCAAAGGTGACCTCACTGACAGAAGGACGTTTGCCCCTGAAAGGAGATGCCAGGGGGAGAACCTGGTTGTTTTCATGATCTCCCCTCTCAGGAAGATAGAATGCCCACCCACTGTCCCCCAAAACCTGCAAGAGAAAGAGGACTTCTTTGTGACTGTCTCGCTTCAATGGTAACAATTTCCAAAACTGGTTCATATAAGAGAACTTTTCTTTTAAAAAAAATGTACTTGCTTATTTGTTGGTTGATAAGACAAGAATATTTAAGCCAGAGATAATTGGGTGAATCAAAAACAGTGGTAGCTTAAACAGCAAGTTAAAGCTCTTTTTTACATAGAGGATTGTCCCAAGTACATTTGCAATGAATACTATCCCAGCCCCCTAATGCTGAAAGGTGGAGGGAGAGTAGACCTGCCCAGAGAACTCAGCAGAGTCCCTGGGTCAGAGGGCACCAAGGACCTCAGGACGGAGCCCAGAAACCATACGGACGGAAGAAACCAAGCAGAGAAGAGACCACACAAAACAGGGTGCAGCCACGCCCCAGAGAGCCCTGGGACAGAACACAGACAGAACTCTGAGCTGGGGAAGAGGGGACAGAGGCCAAGGTGCCTGGCTCCTTGCTCTTCTGTTATTTACACGTGTGTTTGTTTATTCCTAGGTGCAAAGGAATGTTTGCCTTCTGCGGCATCAAGAAGCAGCAGCCGTTTCTGAGCACTGGGCTCAGGAACTGAGACGACCACCATTGCAAGGCCAAGCACTGACTCTCCTTCCAGCTGAGAGTGAGTCTCTGAGAATCTGATGGAAGTGATTATATGTGTAGATGTCCAGAGGCTGGAGGGGGCCGGTACCTCTGTGAAAGCAGCGTCCTGGGGAGCGGGCAGTGGGCACAAACTGGAAGCAATATCTGAAACGGACAGAGGAGGAAGAGGAACTCTTGTGTGTGTTTGTTGTTTCGCTGCTTTGCTCTTAAAACCAGTTGTCATGCATTTCAAAACACACACACACACACACTCACACACACACACCCCACTACCTGCATTGCGCTCTTTTGAAGACAGGCCTCAGAAACCCCGATTCCCATTAAATTAGGCTCCAAGCGGCCAGCATCCATGTCCTACTGGAAGGAGCCAGGTGGTCACGGCCTAGAAGTCCATTTTTCCTTGAGAGCCAAGCTGATCTTCTGCCTTCAAGAACTAAAGTCAATTTCATGAGCTGACTTCATGAGAAGGAACATTATTTCAGTGGCTAACTCGACCAAGTTGGCCCTTGAGGCATCACCAGAAGCTCTCGAGGGAAAACGCAGGATTACCAGACCTAGGGCTCTTTGAATGTCCATCCCTTCGTATGCCTAACGGGCAACTTGCAGCTAAGTAGAGTTCGACCCTTCTGTGGTCAAGATCTTGTTTGCTTGGTTGAGGGGAGGACATAAAGAGACGCTAGCCCACTGGAAGTCACCAACACTGTTAGAAGGCAAAGGGGTCCCCAAATCCTTTGAACCCGTAAATTGGATCTTCAGAACCTTGCATACGTTGGTTTTCTGGGGCATTAACTCTTCTGGCTCTGTCTGCCTCCCCCAGAAAACCCCTTCTTTCATCCTTTTTATGTGCTGGCCCTTTCAACTGCCAAAACAGAAGTCATTAAAACAGGAATCCTTCCAGCTGATGGAACCAAGGTGAATAATAACGACAGCTTCCAGGATCACACTTCCCAGTGCTTTCTGAATCTCTTACTTGCCTTGAATTTATGTTCTTTTGACTGATCTTAATTGCCTTACTAAGGGGGGGACGGGGCTGAGCTGCACCTTTTCTCCTCACCCCCCTTTGCTGTTCTCTTGCTATTCCATTGCTTATGTCAGCTTTGCTTGCAAGATTGACCAATCGCAGCTCCCTTTCCTTTAAATGTGGCCACACGGGGGCACTCCAGGACCTGGGGTCCACTATCTCTGCCGTGTGCATGCAAACTCAGTGACCAGATAGGACAGAGCATGGCCTGCCACAGAGGGCTTCCTGGCCGTAACCTTTAAGCGAGCAGGCTTCCAGGCGTTTCTCCCACAGACAGAGCTACAGGCGTTTAGGTTAGCAGCCCAGCACTTAATCACGGCACCACCAGGTCTCCTCTACAGTCTTGAACGAGGCTCTTTTGCCCTGGCTGCCTCATAAGGAGTCTGCGACAAAGCAGCGTGTTGGGGTGGGGGAGGGGGTGTTCATTCACGTCTAGAACGTTGAATACACAGAACTACAATAAGAAAGCAATCCAGTCGCCTTCCCTGATGCCCAATCTCCAAACCAAGAAAAAGTTGGTGGGGTTTTCCCTTTTTATCTTCTCCGTCTTGGAAGAAGTTCAAAGAAGGTGGTTGTGATTGAGTGGTGGGTGGGGGGAAGTTCCATTCCATTGATGTCATTACAAGGTGTGTGAGTCGTCCACACTGGCCCCTTCATGCTGCCCAAGCAGCTTCCCTCTCACCCTTTCCACGCCCACTGAAAGGCGAATGGCTTAACTGCTCTGTGTGCGCTGGGAAATAGCACTTCATGCAGCTACATGGAGACCTCGTAGCATCGCATTGAACAGCCAAACCAAAGATGGGTGGTTCAAATCCACCAGAGGATCTTAGAGAAAGTCTCTTCCGTTACATAATGATTGACAACCTTGGTAACCCAATGGCTTGGGGTAACCCAGTGGACGGTCATCATAGCAAGGACTGACTCCGCAGCAATGGTCATGGTCTCTTGGTCTCTCTGTGCACCTGCTGGGAGCCTGGAGTGAGA